GTAATCTATAGACCTAATTATCTGAGATAAGGTACTCATATAGTATAAGTACTACTTTAAGATAATATACTAGCTAATAATTAATTTACGGTCGGTTGCGGATAATGTTCTCTTTAGAAAGATACCCGTAATCCTCGGGAGAAACTTTACCCAGATCTTACTAGTAGTCCTATACGGTTTGCGGGCCAATACGGTACGGGCCTGCCTATAGCGGACGTAGATCTGGCTATGGCTCTATTAATTATTATTACGGATTAATATACAGGTCCGTAATAACCCGTCCGAGCAGGATTTTGTAAACTAGATTAGTTATCTACTATATAACCCGTCCTTAAATAGGCAGATTATACTCCCGCCTTTTATTCTATATGCCTAGTTAGTTACGGACCTAATTAATTACGTCTACCCGCGAGACCGACTCTTGCGAGCCCCACGTAATTACCGGGCCTTTAGTAGACGGGTAATCCTATTAACCCTGAATAATACGGTCTGCGAGCTTAACTAAATAATCCTGGATATACTTTCTAGCTAGGAACAGATGTATTTTATAGTAGATTTGGCTAATATAAACGAGGCGGATCCTGAAATTACAGAATTACTTCCAGAAATCTTATAAAGTATCTATTTACCAGATCTACCTCTTTCCAAGGTATAACTCAAGATTAGTATACCTGTAATATTCTTGCGGAATCTCTATCTATAGGAAGGGCTTTATAACGGATTACGGATGTCGATTTATAGCTTTAGGAGATTCTTGATTCGCATACGGCTACTAGGTAGTAACTTTAATAGCTAATTACGGACGATTTCACGGATTAAGCTCTAGTTAACGGATTAGTAACTGTCTTTTACGCTCTCCCGTAAGTAGTTTCTACTTGCTTTATCCTTTATAATAACTATTAATAAGTTACAGGGCCAGTTATTTAAGGCAGTAGGAGTGGATTTACGGTCGCCGGTCTTTTCTTATGGCCAGTTCTATATAATAGCCTTACGGGTAACCTTATAAGCAGGGCTTTATATTCTTTTACCCCCTAATATAAACCGTATAAGTAATATAATATACCCAGAAATATTACAGGGTCTTGCTTAGCTTTTGACTTACTTACGGGTGACTTTATATACTTACGGGCTATTCTTTTTCTTATACCATTTATAAAGGCCTTTACCAAGTCACATACCCCCTTTAATTCCAACCCTACTCGGGACGAGTTTAGGGCAAAATTATTAATTGGCCCCGGAGCTTGCATAGGGCTGCCAATTAATAATTTTAGCAAAGCGGCCCTAAACTCGTCTTCTTCTCTATATTGTCCTATATTCAGGCTACCCTAAGCGGTTGGCTCACGGGGCTCCGTAAAAAAAAACGGGTCACGTGAGGAATACCAGAATCGCCCCCTTCTGGGGAATCGCGCATCGGAACGCGATTGCGTCCAAATCCTTAGCGCTTAGCTGGGGATTAGAGAGGAGTAGCTCAAGTACCTTGCTCTGTATTTGAGTGGTTCTGGAATGCGAGGGGCTTTTATTATGATTTTTTAAAGCTCGGGAGGAATGAGGTAAGGGGAATTCTTAAGGCTCTGGCTAGCTCTCAAGGCTTCCAAAAATACAGGTCACGTGAGGAATACTAAAACTTCCATATATTACATACTATAATCCTAATACCTAGCAAGCTTAAGGGAAGTTTTATAGATATAAGAGAGAGCTTTATAAGTAAGAGTAAGGCTATAAGGGTTTATATAAGAAAAGAAGAAGCTTTATAAGCTTATAAGATAGCTTAGAAAAAATAATAAATAAAAGAAAAAGCTATAATAAATTATATAAAAAAAGAAAAAGCTTTATAAATATAAATAAAGGCTAAAAAAAAGCTATAAATAAGAATATAAATAATAAGTTACTTATAGAGATAAGTAAGACTTAAAAGAATATATAAAAAGAAAGAGTTTTATAAATAAAAGTAAGGGCTATAATAAATAAGGCTTAAAAAAGCTTATAAGAAAAGAAAAGAACTTTATATATATAAATAAAGCTATAAGAATTTATAAAAAGAAAAAGAGAATTTTATATATAAATAAAAAAAGCTATAATAATTTATTAAGAAAAAGAAAAAGCTTTATAAATATAAATAAAAGCTAAAAAGAAATTATATTTAAGAATATAATTAATAAGAAACTTAAGGCAAATAAGGTTTAAAAAGCTTATAAAAGAAAAAGAGCTTTATAAGTAAAAGTAAGGCTATAGGAATTTATATAAAGAAAAGAGAAGCTTTATAAGCTTATAAGATAATTTAGAGAGAATTATAAGTAAGAAAAATAATTATAATAATTTATAAAAAGAAAAAAAGAGCTTTATAAGTATAAGAATATAAGTAATATGAAATTTATAAAGGCAAGTAAAACTTAAAAGAACTTATAAAAAAACAGAATTTTATAAATAGGAGTGGGAGCTATAATAATTTATATAAAATAACTTTACGAGTATAAATAAGGCTTAAAAGAGTTTATAAAAAAGGGAAAAGAGCTTTATATATATAAATAAGGCTATAAGAATTTATAAAAAGAAAAAGAAAGTTTTATATATATAAATAAAAACTATAATAATTTATAAAGAAAAGTAAAAAGCTTTATAAATATAAATAAGGCCTAAAAAAGAATAAAAAGAAAAAGAAAAGAAAAGGCTAAGAAAGCTTTATAAAAATATTATTTCTTTTATTATTAAAAAGGCTTTTTATAAATTTTGATTAATTTTTTTATATAATTAATATTAGAAATAATAAATAAAAATAAACTAAATTTAATATATTAAATATAAGTTTATAAATATAAGTTTATAAATATAAGTTTATAAATATAAGTTTATAAATATAAGTTTATAAATAAAAGTTTATAATAAAGTTATAAAATGATATTTATAATATAATTGAATAAAAAAAAAAATTTAATTAATATAATTATAATATAAATTTATAAATATAAGTTTATTAAATAATATAACAAAAAAGTTTATAAATAAATAAATAAAGAAAATATTTAAAAAATATGTTATATAAAGAAAAAATTAAATTATTTATTAAAAGAAATTAACTTTTTATAAATTATAAATTTATAAAAAAAGCTTATAAATATAATACAAAACTTAATAAAAATCTATATAGATTATAAGAATTATATAAAATTATAAAAAAATATAGAAGATCTATACAGAATATATAAGATTATAAGAAATACTATACTAAATAGCCACAGGTTATACGATATTCATAAAAATTAAAAAAAAGCTTTAGAAATATAATAAAGCTTAGAAAAAAAAATATAAAAAAAAAAAAAAGATGTAAGAAAGCTTATAAAATAAATTTTATAAATTTTAATTATTTTTTATATAATAATTTTGTCTTAGAAATAAAATAAAAATAAGTTTACTAAATATAAGTTTTAATATATAAATAATTAAAATATATAATTAATAATTTTAATAATTTAAAGAAATTATATTAAGTTTAAAGTTAAGAATTTATAAATTAAATTAATAAAAGAAAGTTTACTTATAAATTAATTAAGTAATATATCTGATATAAAAAATACAAAAAAATATAAAAAATATAAAAAATATAAGAAAATAAGAAATATAAGAAATATAAGAAATATAAGAAATATAAGAAATATAAGAAATATAAGAAATATAAGAAATATAAGAAATATAAGAAGTATAAAAGAAATATAAAAAATATTAAAAAATAAAATATTAAGAAATATTATTTTATATTTTATTTTTATTAAAATATTTTATTAAATATTTAATTTTAAATTTTTTTTAAAAATAGTTATATTTTTAATATATTTAATAATATTAAGTTTATTAAAAATATTATATAAAAGAATTTTATATTAAAGAAACTTATATTAAAAAATATTAACTTTTAATAATAATTTATTTTATTATATAATATAATAGTTTTATATTTAAATAAAATTAAAGAAAAATATAAAGAAAATATTAATAAATTACTTTTATTAAAATCTTTCTTTATATAATACTTATTAATAAAAGAATTTAAATCTTATATAAAGCTTAGTAAACTTTTATTTTTTTATAATTTATATATATTTAAATTAATATTTTAAATTAATATTCTTTAATTTTTTAAACTTATTTATTTTAGTTTTTATTTAAAGTACTTATATTATTAAAATTTAATAATTAAGAATATTAAGATTTATTTAAAAAATTATTAATAATTATATTATAATTTAAAAGTTAATCTTTTTTAATAAATAATTAAAAAAAATTAACTTTAGAAAGGTTTTTAATTTAAATAATATTTCAAGTTTAAATTTATTATAATTTTTATTTTATTAAATATTTTAATAATAATTAAATTTAATTTAATTCAAAATTTAAAAGAAATTATAAATAAAACATTTATTAATTTTAAATCTTAATTATTAAAATATAAATTAAAAGAATAATTTTATATATTTATAAGCTATTTTTTTTCTTATATAATTTATTAAAAGTTTATAAAAAGTTTATTACTAAGAAGCATTATTTAAAGAGCTACTCGTATATATAATATTAATTATATATAGCTATAAATGCTTGCGGCCTGCCTTGCAGACTATTAGTACTAGATTATAGCGGCTCGTATTCATATACTTGTCCGGGATAAGGATAATAACCTTATTATTTATAGGGAGGTTCTCATAATAATAATCCGCGCCTGACTCGAGGATTAAGCGTATTTATAGGTTAAGTAAGACCCGGAAATTGGTTTACTAGCTCGTAAGATACTTATAGGCTGTCTTATAGACCGTAATAAACGGATTATAGTCCGTAAGTATATTCGTAAGCTATAAAAGGACTGCATAATCTAAGCGAGAGAAGTTAGTAGCCCGGATATTAGTTATAAAGAGCGGGTTATAGAAGAAAAGCTATATAAAGGAGGGTTTGGCATATATAGTAGGCTATAGCGGGCCTTAGAAGTAGAAGAGCTTGCTATAGATCTAAAAGCACTAGATCCTATAGAAGAAGTTAATCCGGGCGTCCTTCTTATAGCTAATTAATATAAAGGCAAAAGCATAATTATATACCCGGATATTTGTCCGGAAGGCCTGGCAAAAGGGGTTATTACCCATAAAGAGGTAAGAGAGATATGGAGGAGGCTTACGGATTAGAGGAAGTGCTATATTGCCCTTCTTATAATAGGCCTCAAAGCAATTATTCATATAACTAAAATGGAAGGCTTCGTAAGCTATATAGTAAGCCATAAGCGGACCGGTCGTATATACGGGAGCTGGCCGGAAGCAGGAGAGGAAGGCAAGAGGCCATATAGGAAATGGGTTAGTAGGAGGGTCCTCTATAACATAAACGGGGGCCGCGACGGACGGTTAATGAATCCGTTACTAGCGCTATAGGGCTGGCTTGTCCGTAGTAACGTCCGTAATTAATTATTATTATTGCCGGGAGGGAGGGAGGGCATTTGGATTAAGTTCTTGTAAGGCAGGGCACTACTAGGTATAATTAGTAGTATTTCGGGCCTATTAACTAGTTAGTTAAGTCAAAAAAAGGGGAGGATATAAACTTGATAGTAAGAGCAAGTCTTATATGGCTTAGCCCGCTCCGTAATAAAGTCAGAAGCAGGCCGGTTCTGCTTATAGGAAGTACAAAAGCGGGGAGGGTCCATAGTAATAAAGAGAAAAAGGAAAGGAAAGTAATATGAGGTCAGGATTTTTTTTTAGTGCTTTTTACGGGGCCCCTAGCTTAAGATTTTCCCCCGAGCCTTAAAAAATCATAATAAAAGCCCCTCGTATTCCAGAACCACTTAAATATAGAGCAAGATACTTGAGCTTCTCCTCTTTAATCCCTAGCTGAGCCCTAAGGATTTGGACATAATCACGTTCTAATACGCGATTCCCTAGAAGGGGGCAATTCTAGTATTTCTCACGTGACCCGTTTTTTTTTACGGAGCCCCGTGAGCTAACCGCTTAGGGTGGCCTAAATATAGGATAATATAGAGAAGATAGTTTCTATATAGAATATATATAATTCTTCTATTTTATAAATAACTTTTTTAAAAGCTTTTAATTATATCTTATATACTTTCTATTAAGAATTCATTTAATTTTAATTTTATTATTTATAAATTATAATTATAGTTATAAGTTATCTTAAAACTAGTTTAGTAATAAGTTTATTATAAAATATATTATATATTTCTAGAAAAGTATTAAGCCAAAAACTATAGCTTTTTATTACTTTAATTACTATATATTTAGTATACTTTATATTAAGCTTTTTAGTTAGTTTATTTATTCGAATATTTTAGAAATTAAACTAGATTTTATTTCTAATTTTGAATTCCAGAACCTAGTTTCTTTTCTGGTTTATTACTTTCTTTTAAAATTACTAGACTATTATTATTATAGTTTATATATACTTTTATATATTATAGAGTCTATATATAATATTATTTATTATTTAAATAAATAATAATTCTTTGCCTTTTTTACTAATTTTATTCTAGAACTATACTAGCTTAATATAATATTTATAAAATAGAAAAAATAAACTAATACTTATAAATAAGATATTTTAGTTATTAATTACTAACTTAATATATAATAAAAGAATTATCTAGTTTATTTAATTATAGTCTATAAAAATATAAAAGAAAGTCTTAATTATCTGGTTTATTTTTTTTTATAAATCTATTTATCTTAAAATAATATATAATAAATAATTAATAAGTAATATCTAGTAATTTATATATTTTAATTTATAATACTTCTATAAACTACTTTTCTTAATTAGAAACTATTACTTTTGGAAGCCTATATTATTAATAATAGATTTTTATAAACCATTTTATTATTATTTCTATTATAATATTTATTATAGCTTTAATTATTACTTCTTTTTCTAAGTAATTTGTAATAACTATTATATTAGTATACTTTTTATTTAATAAAAGTTCTATTATAAAGTTAATTAAGATCTCTTACTAGATTTAATTTAGAATAAGAAAAGACTTTAGGAATTTCTAATAGCGGTTTCTTTATATTTTATTTCTTTTATATATATTATAGTTCTATATAAACTAATATATTTATTTTAATATATTTGGCTAGAAGAATTATTATATAAAAAGAATACTTATAATATTCTATTTTAAATAACTATACTAAATCGAGTAATAAATCTATTAAATTAGCTTTATATAAAGCTTTTTTGAATTAAGAACCTATTATTATTTCCGGAAAAGAAGTTATTCTAATTAAAATAATAAATATTTCTCTATTAATACTTTAATTTTTAAATTAGTTAGAAATATTTATTTCTTTTTCTATACTATTTTAACTATAGACTAATATAGCTTGTTTTTCTCTTGAATATTATATTAAAGCTTTTATAATATATCTTAGATACTATTTTCTATTTATTATTTTATTTATTTATTACTATTATAGCTTTTATTTTATTCTTAATTTCTTAAGCCCGGTTTAGAAAAAAAATTTATTCTAAAAGAAATTCTATTTCCTTCTCTTTATTCTTTTACTAGTTTATATTTATAAGTTAGGCCTTTATATTCTACTAGTTTTCTAACTAGATATTTATTTTTTATTTTTTATTTTTTAGATTAGATTTAGAAAACTAGATAAACTTTTTCTTAATCTATTTTCTTATCTATATTAGTATTATAAGAGTTATATTTTTAGAGAGATTACTAAAGGTTTCTGGCTTTAATAGTTATAATATTCTAGACTAATAATAATAATTTTTTTTCTTATTAGAAAAGTTCTATTCTTATTTTAAGAATTTATTTATTTATTTATTATTTTTTTCTAAAATATATAAGATCTCAAAATTATATTATAAAAGAATTAGAAATTATCTTATTTACTATTTAATAAGTTTTTATATTATTATAAAGTACTTTAGGTTTTTATAGTTTATTTAAATCTTAAACTAGTAAATACTTCTTAGTTTTATATTTTATTTCTCTAAATAATAAATAATTATAAATCTTATAATTATATTTTATAAAATTATTCTTTTTTAAGAAAAAGATATAAAATTATAAGATTTTCTTTCTATTAACTTATATAAGAATATTATTTATATTTTATTTAAAAAAGTCTATTTCAAGAATTATTTTCTAGTTATAATTAAATTATACTAGTATTAGAGCTAAAATAAATATTTTCTTAAGCTTTTAGAAAGTAGTTTTTATTTTATTTATTTATAAAATATCCAATTCTTATATATAAAGTTAAATAATAATTAAATAATTTCTGAAAACTCTCGAATAAAATATTAATAGAAATTAGTAAATCCTAAAAAGCTTTATATATCTTTTACTAATTTCGGGGCTTTTTAACTTAGAATAGCTTTAATTTTTATTAAGTTTATATAAATGCCTTTTCTGGCTTTTATAATAAATCCTAAATATTTTATTAATTTGATTTTAAATTCGTATTTATTAATATTTAGCTAGAGATCTGCTTCTTGGAATTATTAGAGAATTATTTATATATACTTATAATATTCTTTTTTAATTCTAATAAGTAAAATAGAATTTATTTAGGAAATTACTAACTATTTATATAGTTTATATTTTATATAAAAGGCTATTTTTTATTTATTTATTTTAGTAATCTAAATCTTATAGAAAACTATTATAATATTAAGCTTTATAAACTATTTTATTTATCTAATATTCCGAAAAGTTTTATAAATTAATAAAAGCAAATACTAGTTTTTTTTATAAGCTTAATTAGGCTCTAGTAATTTATATAAAACTGTAATTTTCTATTAGGTTTTTATATGAGAAAAATAGAAATAATAATAGAAAAGTAGCTTATTTAAATAAATTCTTTATCTAATAGTTTTATAAGTATTTTCTATAGTATTAAAAGCTTGTTTCGAGATATATTATATAATAGGCTATATAATATAACGGGTTCTTTTTTATTAACTTCTTCTAATTTAATCTAATAGTTAATTTCTTAGTTCTAAATAAGTAATAACTTCTTTATTTTAATTAGATAAAATGTTTTTTTAGAAGCTCTTATATTATTCCGGGAGCTTCATATAAGAATTAGTTCTCTTTTTCCAAATTAGAGCTTTTTAAATATTTATTAAACTAACTAAAAAAAACTTTTATATTTCTTTTTTTACTTTTTTTTATTAGATAAGAAAATAAAGCTACTGAGATTTATATATAATTTATTATTTATAGACTAAAAGCTAGTAACTTGTTTATTCTATTTTATATTAAGGTTTCTAATAATAAAATAAATAGTATTATAATAAAACATTATTATTGTATTATAATAATAATAAATAGATTCTTGGAAGGAAAGAGAGGTGTGGCACGAGTGGCCAAAGCTTAAATACAGGAATGTAGTCACGTGAGCCTGCACGTGACTACTAGTACGCAGTTGCCATGTAACAAATAGCTCTAACCTCGAATTATAAATTTATATATTTTATAAATAAAACTACTATATATTTAAGATTATATCTAAGCTAAAAATCTTGGGAACTATATAAAAAAAGATATAAGATTTATAGTAATTATTAATATTTATACTAAATATTACTATTTTTCTAATTATATCCGATATTATTTTATTAAAAGCCTTTATTTATTTAGAAGTAATTAGTATATACTAGAGGTTATATTAACTAGTAAAATAAGAATTAATTATTTCATATAATATATATCTATTATTAATAAGAATTTATATAAAATACTCTTTATTAATTACTACTAATATAAAAAAAGAAAATCTAATTATATTTTTCTAAAATTATTTCTAAACTTATTAATCTAATTTTATTTTTATATATTTCTAATAGCGACTTTTATTAGAAGCTAATCTTTTCCCGAATTAAATAAATTCAAGTTCTTTTTATTTTTACTTTTATTTTTATCTAAGATATTACTATTCTTTTCTTAAGCTATTTTTGTTTTTCTTAAAGCTATTTTTAATATCTTTATACTTTTTGTTTTTACTTTTAGCTATTTTTTCTCTTTTTTATTTTTTTATTTATTAGTTTAGGAAAAAAAGCTCAAATATAGCTTTATTTAATAATTATATATAAAATAGTTATTTTAATTATATTAAAGGCAGAATTTTTTCTTCTTTTACTAATTAATTTTATCTAAAGAGGCCTAATTAGAAATATTTCTTAATTATTATCTTATATTATTTATAATAGA